GAGTTCAATCCCCAGTACCAAAAGGAGGGGGGGAGGGGGTTAAATTAGATTTTATATAAATGGGATAAATACTTATAAATACATTTATTAGAGAAAACATCTGATTTTTTGTGTGGGGCGGATACTAGGGGTCAAGCCCAGGGCCTCAGGCATGCCTAGCAAGGTGCTCTACCACTAAGCCATGTCCCCAGTCTAACATCCAATTCATTATTCAGTTAGAATACTAAAACACCTACTGCTAAACATAAATTCAAGTACTCTTAACTTCTTAAATTCTATTCTTAAATTCACAAAACATGCACACATAAATACATATACACATAGACTTGTTTATATATTAGGGTCTTTCAATGAATGTATTTTTGTAATTTTGTTGGTATATGGAAAAAAACAGTTTATGATTGCTTTATTTCTGAGTCTTCACTAAAAGGTTAATAAGAGTTAAAATTCTAACTGATGTACTTGTATAAGCAAATATTACAAAAAATTTAAGCTGTGCTTTATTGGGGGAAATCTGTTTTAAAAGAAAAAGTTATTTCATCTTATTGGATAAAAAAGAGTAATTTGTCAAAAGTCAAAAATTTCATAAAGGTTGTTTTAAATTATAAATATAAGGAAGGGGAAAAAAGAATCAGCAAGTAGGAAAGAAGAAATATAAGAAAGCTATAAGCATGAGGATATATTTTAAGGAAAATTAAAAGGAAAATATAATGTTTTGGGATGGAAAATCAGAAGCCTTGCAATCACAGTGAGTTGTGAAAACTGGCTACTAGGACAATTAGATATCCACTTGAAAAAAAAAACTGGACCCCTACTTTACATCATAAGCCAAAATTATTACCTCAAAATGGAACAAATGCATTAATGTAAGAGATAAAAAATTAAACCCTTAGAAGAAAAAAACAGATGTAAATCTTCATAACCATAGAAATTCACATGAATTTTTTTGCAGTGAAGGAATAAGATATTTTTTTACTCTGGCCTATAACCATGAGGTTATATTTATATATATTTATCATCAATATCTTTGAGTACTGACTAAACAATTACAATAATAATACAGTCTTATTCACAGACATAAATTACTAAGTTTCTGAAACTGGCACTGAACTTGCCATTCTCCTGCCTCAGCCTCCCTAGACACTGGGATTACAGACATGTGCCACCATGCCTGCTGCCCCCCCCACACCATTCTATTGATTAACACAATCAAAGTCTGACAGGATTCAAAGCTGAGGGGTTACCTGACCCTGCTTATCAACGGAAGGGTGGCAAGGTCCCATTACAGAGGAGAGTGGGATGGGAGGAAGTGGTATGGACATCTTTGAAAAATAACACCCTATCACATCCTCCCAAGTACTTCTCTTGCTTAAGTATATGTTGATCTCATTTTTTTTCCCCAAGGAGAAACCACTCAGGAGACTATTATTATAAATGAGGTTCCTAAACTCTATTCGAGGGTAACCAGATGCTTTTTTATAAAATATTTTTTAGTTGTAGTTGAACACAATACTTTTATGTATTTATTTTTATGTGGTGCTGAGGATCGAACCCAGGGCCTCGCACATGTAAGGCAAGCACTCTACCCCTGAGCCACAATCCGAGCCCCAGAGGCTTTTATCCATATTCAGCTTTTCCGTTTAGCACATCTGACCATTTTTCCACTCTCAGTGGCTCTCAACAGAGAAGGAAAAGCAGCCACTGACATGAGCTGGCTGCACCCTCACAACTAAGGCTCCTAATGAACATAAACAATTTCTTGGACCTCCAATGTTATACAAGGTTACTATGTGATCAGGATGACCAAAAAAAAAAAAAAAAAAAAAAAAGGAAAACCACTGCATAATCATATCTGACAAGACAAAACACAAACTTTTACCAAATCACAAAAATGACCAAACATCCTACTGTCCTGGTTAAAACAGTGCCCATGGCTACTCATCAGTCTACTTCTAGTCTATCCTCCTAGATAATACTCATTACGATATCCACAAAATTACTTCTTAACTGAATCCAACCTAGAGCAAAGCCTCACTTCTTTAAATCCTCCCCCAAATCACCTAACAGGTTCAAATCCTATAAATCCTTTTTGACTCCCCAACAGATGCCTTACAGTTCCCCATTGTGTGCATTCTGCTTCAATACAACACATCCAGTGATCAACTCCATTTGTTCAACCACCATGTCTTAGTAGTCTTTGCTTAGAACTCACTGACAACTTTTCTAAAGACCCTGGAGTTTACAGAATACATTTATGGCCAAGGCTATTTCTGATCTTCTGAACTCTAACATACATACAGTCAGTGAGACATTGGATTTTACTCTTTTTCACTATGGTTTTGGAAGACAATTATATAAATTCCTTAGACCACCAGAAACTTTTTAAATGCCCTTACAGTTAAATTCATTTAACTATAGTTAAAATATATTTATGTGTGGTGGTGCACTTGTAAATCCCAGTGGTTCAAGAGGCTGAGGCAGGAGGATCACAAGTTCTAGCCTAGCCTCAGCAACTTAGCAAGACCCTGTCTCAAAATAAAAACTGAAAATGTCTGAGGATACTGTAGCTCAGTGGTTAAGTGCCCCTGGGTTCAACTTGGGGGGCGGGTGGTGGGTAGAGGAATACACACACACATTTGCATATGTATTATGTATGTATAGGTATGTTTTATATATATATATATATATATATATATATATATATATATATATATATTATATATATATATAAAATCTGGACCCCCAGATTTCCTTCTTATCACCTTATCAAGTACAGAAAGATTATCCTGATAACAGTGGCAATAGCTGTCCTATCCCCAGCATGGCTACAGAGTCCAAGGGCAACCTGGCTTCAGACCATCCAGGACATTTAAGTCTCTGCTATGGGAAAAGAAATAAGTATAATAGGACAACTGGCTCATCAGCTGTGGGTACCAGAGTCCAGAACATATTTCTATTGCTGTCACCTCCTCCTCTTCCTAATGAGTTCTTGATTTCTCTCATAGTCATTTTGCAAAGGAAAAATGTGATTTTTTGTGGTGCTGGGGATTGAACCCAGGGCCTTGTATATGCGAGGCAAGCACTCTACCAACTAAGCTATATCCCTAACCCCAAAATATGACATTACTTATAATTATCCACCCTTTTCCCCTTATCCTTTTCAGTTCTCACTCCCTTGATACAAAGACTTGTATACTCAGAAAAACCATGTGTAGGGCTAGGGTGGTGGCCCAGCGGTAGATCACTTGTCTAGCATGTGTGAGGCACTAGGTTCAATTCTCAGCACCACGTACAAATAAATAAAGGTCCACTGACAACTAAATATTTTAAAAAAGAAAGAAAAACCATGTGGCCTAAGGGGTATGGGCTCAGTGTTAGAGTACTTGCCTAATATGCTCAATAGCCTGGGTCCAATCTCCAACACTACAAAAATGAAAAAAAAATTTTTCAAAAAACACTGTCTTCCACAGCATGGTAGTTAAGTGACAGATCAGAAACCTCCCCTTACCTTAGGGGTGAACATATACAGTTAATTTAAAGGCGTTTAAAGAACCAGCTATAGCAATTAGGTAATTTGGATTGGAAACAAACTCATCTGAACTTCAGTTCTAGAGTTATTTTGACACACATGGCTCCAAATTCTCCTTAGCCTGTCTATTCCCAGGAACCCTGGGAGTTTTTCCCCTGCAAAATGACTATGAGAGAAATCAAGAACTCATTAGGAGGAGGAAGAGGTGACAGCAGTAAGAAATATGAATGTTAATGCAAAAATATTAAAGCATTGTTGGGCTGGGGTTGTGGCTAAGTGGTAGAGCACTTGCCTAGCATGTGTGAAACGCTGGGTTTGATCCTCAGAACCACATAAAATAAAAAACAAAATAAAGGTATTGTGTCCATCTACAACTAAAAAAATAAAAATTAAAAATTAAAGCATTGCTACCTAGGAATCATCTAGGACATCAAGCTAAAGAGCCCAACCTCACATAGGTTTAACTTCTCACATTTCACCGAAAATTATACTCTCTCAGTAGAATGAATTGGACATAACTTTTCTATGTTCACATATGAATACACGACTAATAAAACTCCATATGTACAACCCCAAGAATAGGAAGTTATACTTCAAGTGTATATGTCAAAATACATTCTACTGTCATGTATAACTAAAAAGAATAAAAAATTTTAAAAAACACACACAAAAAAGAGAATGGTACTCTCTGGAGGACAGTGTGCAGATTAGATATGAGGACTTATGTGGAGGGGAGAAATCAGTGAAACAACAAAAAGGATAAAGTTTGGCAATCATGAATGAATTTGATAATTTTTAAGTTTGGTTGCTTTTTGTGTGTGTTTGTGTCCGGCTGACTCCCTCAGGATGTGCATACAGCAGATAAGATATTTCTGAAACATTCAGAGCACTGGCCAGCCCAGCTACTTGCTGGCCCTCTGCAAAGACTCTGAATAGAACTAGGCCAGTTTGTTTGGACTTTTTCTGTTGTTATTTTATGTGTGCCTGGTTGTTTGGTTTGAGGTTGTTTTATAACTGGTCTGGGGAGAGATCTGGGATGCAACATTGACTAGAGTCTAGAATGAATAGTAAAACTTCTGAAAGTGTGTCCTGGTCATTTTCAGACTCCTGGGAGGATTTGGAGGGCACATGTAACTGTGAACTGTACCCCTCCAGGAGACTGTTTAGGGTCAACCTTTAAAAGAAAGCTTCAAATTAAGCTCCAGCACAACAGGATTTCTGGTTCTGAGCTCTAGATTAAACAAAATGATTATTTCTTCAGAGGAGGGAGAGATTTTATTGAGGGTTAGAAAAAAACTACCTACCATACCTTCTCAATTCTGACTCATTATACTAATTTTTCTCTGACAATTAGATCATCACAGCATTTTTTAACTTCAACATAATTTATTACCAGAAATTAGGAACAACCCATATTTTGTTGTTGTTGACACAAGTAGAGGTGTGAATTCCACTATAAATAACTACTTACCTTAATATAACTCAGCAAAGAATTTTAAAAGAAAATATCTTCTTAGTGTTTTTTTAATTTTCATGGTACAAAGCACTATGACACCTAAAATTGAAGAAAAACAGTTTTGTTTGGTTAATCTTTGCTTCACCATTCAAAATATACAAATGAACAACCAAAACAAACCCATTCTATTAAAGACAAACATAAGACCTAAAATGTAAAACCTGTAGACAAACTAAGACAGGAGAAAAACTACATGACATTGATATGGGCAATGATTATTTGGATTTGATCTCAAAAGTTCAGGCAACAAAAACAAAAATAGACAAACAGGGGGGGCTGGGGTTGTGGCTCAGCAGTAGAGCGCTCACCTCTCATATGTGAGACCTGGGTTTGATCCTCAGCACCACATAGAAATAAATAAATAAATAAAGATATTGTGTCCATGTAAAACTAATTTTTTTTTTAAATAGACAAATGGGGGCTGGAGTTATGGCTTAGAGGTAGAGAGCTCACCTGGCATGTGTGAAGCACTGAGTTTGATCCTCAACACCACAAAAAAATAAAATAAAAAATAAAGAGATTGTGTCCACCTATAACTAAAAAATAAATATTAAAACAAATAAGACAAATGGGCCAGGTAACTAAGGACACTGAAATAGGAGGATTCTCCAAGTTCAAGGCCAGCTCTAAGCAACTTAGGGAGACCCTGTCTCAAACACAGAAAGGGTGTAGTGGCCCACACCTGCAATCCCAGCAAAGCCAGCCTCAGCAACTTAGTAAGGCCCTGAGCAACTTAGGAAGACTCTGTCTCAAAAAGTGACTCAGTGGTTGAGTGCCCACCCCTGGGTTCAATCCTCAGTAAGGGAGGGGATGGAGGGAAGGGGGGTATGAAGGGGGGGCAGAGGGAGGGGGGGATGGGGACAAAACACCTACCTGCCATTCAAATTCACTATCTGACCAGTCCCAGTATCTGCAATACCAAAAATAAATAGATAGATAGATATAATAGAACAGACTGGGAATGCAGCTCAGTGGTAAAGTATCCCTGGGTTAATCCCCAGTACCAAAAAAAAAAAAAAAAAGACAAATGGGATTATATCAAACTAAAATACTTCTGCACATCAAAGAAAACATTCAACAGTAAAGAAACAACCTACAGGGGATGAGACTGTAGCTCAGTGGCAGAGCACTTGTCTAGCACATGTGAGGTACTGGGTTCAATTCTTTGAACCACATAAAAATAAAACAAATAAAATGGAGGCATTCTGTCCATCTATAACTACAAAAAATTTTAAACAACCTACAGCGTGGGAGGAAAT